ATCCCCTTCCGGGAACCGTCGACCCCTGTCAGAAGTAAACATATCGAAATAGGTCACAGAGGCGTAGATCTACAGGGTGTATACTGGATTTATTTTATTTTTGTATTTTTATCATAATATATTAAAATTTAGGTTGATTTGTGCAAAAAAATGCAATCGGTAAAATCGGATTATTTGTTTTTTAATTATTTTTTGAATACGACTTTGCTTATTACTCTTAATTCGTAGTTTTTTATACATTATTAGGAGTTTAGTTATATTCAGAACGTAGAAATTAGTGGCCCATTTGTTATTATTTGTTCTGTACAAGGTTACCATTTTGGTTGAAATCATACGTTATCTCCGTTATTAGTAAAGATAGGAGGATGTGGTTTGCACAAACCTGTCCCAATTTTTTTTTTAAATGGAAGATGATGTAAACAATATTTTCATAGCCCTTCTCGTTTCTGAAACAGGGTCTCTTCGAAAATTTTGCAATTTGGTGCAGCCCCGTATCTGCGTTATTATGAATGATATCGAGAAGGTGAAAACCGAGGTGAAAACTGATTCTTGTAGAACTTTTTACGTAAAATATAGTGGCGTAGTCTGTTTTGGCGGGTTGGCTACCTCCGCAGCTGTGCTAGACGAAGCCCACAATCCTGGGCGACTCTAGTTCTAGGCTGCAAATTGGGGCCTTAGGCTCCCGTTTGCTCCTTTTGTTTTTTATCATCCTTTTTTTTCATCTACTAGGTTGCAGACGGTGCCTCGTGCATCGTTTGCTTCCTGGTTTATATTTTTTCGAATCGTTATCATCCCTTGCTGATTCCTTACCGTACTGATGATGATGGAAGGCAGTTACATTAGTGTACACTGATGTAGGTGTGGTTGTTGTGTGTGAGTGTGAATGTCTACAATAGTATACACTGGTGTATACGGTTACGAGTTTGTTGAGGGCTTGCCGACTAATTTTTTCCTTCTGTTTTTATATATTCCCCTCACTATTTCAATTTTTATTTTGTTTTGGCTTCGGCTAAGGGTATTGCGGCGGGTTGCTGTTGGCTACCTTCGCAGCTGTGCTAGATGAAGCCCACAATCCTGGGCGACTCTAGTTCTAGCCTACAAATTGGGGCTTTAGGCTCCCGTTTGCTCCTTTTGTTTTTCATCATCCTTTTTTTTTTTCATCTACTAGGTTGCAGACGGTGCCTTGTGCATCGTTTGCTTCCTGGTTTTTATTTTTTGGGATCGTTTTTTTTTCATTCATCGCTTGCTGATTCCTTACCGTACTGATGATGCTGGAAGGCAGTCACAATAGTGTACACTGATGTAGGTGTGGTTGTTGTGTGTGAGTGTGAATGTCTACAATAGTGTACATTGGTGTATACGGTTACGAGTTTTTTGAGGGCTTGCCGACTAATTTTTTCCATCTTCTCAAAAATATCACTCTATATTTATTTTCCCTATTTACTGCAATATTTAAAAAATATATATCATTTTCTTATTAGTAAAGTAGGCTGTGATAAATAACAAAAAAATCAAAATGGTATTTACTGAAACAGTCATAACACATATTAAAATTTTATTTGGGATTGATATATTTTACTTCTGAACTGTTACCACTGAAAATATTTTTTTATAACGGAATGGCTTTGCAGATATCTAAAAGATTGCATTATTAAAGCATTTTCCAGGTGTTCTACATTGTTGAATTTGTCACGATACATTTCATATTTCAAAAATCCCCAAAATCAGAAATCGAGAACGGACAAATCCGGGAATCAGGAAGACCATCATATGGGTCCATTGGTTACAATTCATTGATTTGATAAATAATAATTTAACAAAATTCTAATACATATTTTCAAAGTTGTGATGGGGGAGCTCCATCTTTCTGAAAGCATATTTCGCGTAAATTAGTTAAAAGAATATCAAAAAGTTCCGGTACGATAGCTTCCACGATTTACAGATAGCGGTATAGAGAGTTAAGTTTTCCTAATATATAAAGAATTTATTAGTGGCTTCCAAAATAAAACAAGAGGCAGATGCAGTATACTTTTAATAAATCTTTAGTATCTTTTATTATCAAATGGCCTACTAATAAATAATATGATCTTTTAATATATTTTTTTTTAAATATTGCAGTGCATAGTAAAATAGTAAAAATAAATATAGAGTGATATATATTTTTGATTATGACAAGTCAGATCATAAAATTTATAAATATACAGGGTGTTCCATTTAAGAAAACATAACTTCAGTTCACATGTTTAAAAATTTTCTTTTCGTAGAATAACAAGACTACGCCACTATTCTACGTAAAAAGTTCCACAATAAACAGTTTTCACCTTCTCGATACCTTTAACAATAACAAAGATACAGGGGATGTATCAAATTGCATAATTTTCAAAAAGACGCTGTAGCTCAGAAACGAAGAGGGCTATGAAAATTTTGTTTACGGCATCTTCCGTTTGGCAAAAAAGTGGGCCAGATTTGTGCATACCGCACCCTTCTATCTTCAGGAATAACGAAGATACCGTATCATTTCAACTAAAATGGGACACCCTGTAAGTTTTATACTAGTAACATTATAAATGTTGGAAGGTTGGACGTAGTATTTCTTTTTTTTTCAATTTGTTAATTAAAGTGACTTTCCGTATGACTTTCCGACGTATTGAAGGGTGACGAGGTTATACGTCTGGGGTTTAAATACTACCAGGTAATAGAAAATAGTTGCTGTGGGGTAAGACACCGGTATTTTCTAGTTGCTGCACGCAAGGTATTTGTTTAAGCCCTCGCATACGTCGGCTATTTTTATCATAATCAACCGTAATGGATGTTTTGTAGTAAAATACTATTTTTACTAGAATTTAGGCTAATATAGTCAAGAAATGAGATTGTATTTCCTTACCTTTTTATTATCGAGTATATCGTAAGATTGAGATGTGGTTGTAATACAGGGTGAGTCTTAAATAAGTGCATATATTTTTAGGGGTAATATATTTCGACCCCAGAAACATGTCTATGATTTTTTTCCGCAAAAATATATGTTGAAAATCTTTATTTTCTTTTAAATTTTCCTGTATATTTCAGAAAACATTTTAGAGCTGCCTAAGAAATTATACTGTGAAAAAATTTGTGGTGAACAAATTTTTTCACAGTATAATTTCTTAATTCTTATATTACCGTGGTTAACGGCTTTACTCTATGGTTACGACCCTAAATGAGATGTATAGACAGAAAGAATCCTCTGGTTCGCATTTTTTTTTAAATAAATCAGTTTTTGAAACTTGAATAACTGGGTTATTTTGGACTTGGAAACGGTAAAGAGAAAATAAGTTTCTTTTATCGAGATTCACCGGCCCTGAAAAAGACTCACACTGTATAAAAACTTTAATTTTTTAAACATATGATTTTATATTGCATCAATATAAAACAGGTGATGGTTAAGAAATTGTTCTTTCTGTATGTATCTAGTGGTAACACGAAGTTAACAGATTTCTTATGAAATATTGATGACATATATCGGGTCTCAAAAGCTCACCCCTATAACTTTTTTATTTTATCAGATAAAAATGAGATTTGGTATGTTAGTATATGAAATAAATTAGGATTAATTGACGTATTCCATTGTTTTTGGTCACTTCCTGTTTCACCGGAAATTACTAAATCTTTTGACTTTTAAATGGCACCCTCGGTATGTTTTTACTTTACTAGATAGAAAAGGACACTCTGAATAGAATGACATATCATTATTATGTCAACTTTTGACATTTTATCATATGGCTTATTTGAAATTGTAACAAGCGGGTCATAACGACAATTTGACTCGAAATACCCGATGTGTGGTACCAAATTATTCGTAAAAAATATTTTTTTCAAATACGCTTGTTCCGTTTCAAAAAATTGAGATATGGTTAAACACGATTTGGGCATTTTTAACCGGCCAGGACAAGACACGAAACATTACATTAGATGATTAAATCTATTTTTCCAAAGCTTCTTGATCAAAAGTTGGAACACGAACAATGGAAGTCCGAAATTCTTTTAGTTTTAATACTGAGTCATTATATCTACCACATTCAAAGTTACTCAATACCATTTAGTCATCTTTACTCGCTTGTTTTTGAGTATCTGCTATCTGCCTAACTGCTTAACCTTTAACCTGCCGCGCTTATTCTAGTACTTGCATATATAAGCAGTAACCTCACCAATCATCATTGTTTTTATAAAAATAGCAAGCTCTTATATATTTACTCGTACTCGTAAAAATACTTACTAAAAAATACCTAGAATTGTAGGTATTTCTTCAAGTAGTCGATCATGAAGATTTCTATTTTTATATTGAGGCAATTTTGCATTCCACAGTGCAGATATTGCCTGTATTTCGGCGATTAGCACCTCTGCGTGCTTGTCCTCAGATGCTATGATAACCACTGAACCATAGCACTGAACGCTAGAAATCTAGCCGAAAAACAATTCAGATTGAACTCGACGCTTGACGCTCAGCGAACGCTAGCGCAACGCCGAACGCGACGCTTTCTGTCTCAACGGTCTAATTTAAGTTAAAGGAATTGATTCCATATCGTGGCGACGCGTACGCGACGCAAACGCGACGCGACGCTCGACGCTCTCAGCCTGAATGTACCTTTAATCCAACGGAGACCAATTTGTCGGTGGTGATTTACTAATAAAAAAGTCTAATGCTGGAAGTACACATTCGCCTCGTCTCGGCCTCGGGTCGTCTCGGCCTCGGGTCGTCTCGGCGAGTGTGTACTTGCACCATAACAGGCAGGAAAGGCTTGACAGGAGGCTTTAATGGAGCTCAGAGGTTAGAACCACACTTGTTACATAAAATAAGCGAATTTCTAAGTAGTTATGCAAAATCTATAATAAATATCTTAAGATTTTCGAACCTACCATCGGCTGTAATTTACCTTGTATCATAATAAATATTAACTGTTTAACATTTAGTGGATTATGATTTTATTTCTAGCGCTTGTTAACCATATTTTTGTTTGTTGCAGCTACCGGCCTGACCCCAGTGGGGTCCCTGGCCGGATCTCCAGGCCCTCCGCTTCAGTCTCTCGACTTACTAGAAGAAATGGGGCTGTCGAATGTCTCGTGGCCGGGGGTCTCTATGGCCCCCGGAAAACTTAAAGGCAAACCGGCTTATTTATTAGAAGGTAAGTTTACATCTTAGAAATATCTACATAAGCATAAACGTAAACTAAAATAAAACATTTGCTTGCATTCAGCTGCATAAAGAAAAAGACAACTTTACAGAATTTTTTATAAACTTTGAAAAAGGCAGCAACACTGTTGTTGTACAATATATTGAAGGATAAGAAAGACTACAGTATATATTATATCGAGCTAGAACGAGAAACTTTCAGTTATTCGTGTCAATGTTTTCTTATGAATCAAACTTATTGATGATTTACAGCTAACTGTATCATTTCAAAGGTAGAATATAGAAGAGAAGAAATAAACAAAGCTATTTTGTAAGCTGCTTCAGATCTTTACTGCCAATAATGCATACAGACTTTTGTCTAAACTTGTGTGCGAGCTAAATGAAATATCTATTAATTTTGACGTTTATTCGACGAGGAATTGATGACGTCGGCGTCTCGATTCGCTTTCCAAGTCCGTCACTAAAAGGGCATTAAAATCTCTCGAGATATTTTCTTTCAATTACCTCCCTTTCTTTGACTAGTAAAAGTTCAGAGTGACGAACAGACATTTGCTTTTTCATTTAATGAAAAACTAATTGGTATTAATGTGTAGCACAGAAAGTTTTTTTCTATACAGTTATTCTTACAAAACCCATTTAAATTAAAAGTTTCTTTGAATGTGATAAACTACTAGATTCAGTAGGCCTGCATGAATTGACCTATGCATGTGAAACCTGGACACTTAAAAAAGACATTATAAGAAAACTGCAGGTCGCACAACGCTCAATGGAACGGAATATGCTGGGAATAACCAAGAAAGACCGTAAGAGAATAGAGTGGATAAGACAAATGGCCCGCAGGTAATAGATCATCTACAAAATCACATCTCTCAAGTGGCAGTACGCTTGGTAAGAAGGGCGGACAACACATGGGTCACAAAAATTACAGCATGGTATCCACAAGGAATTAAGAGACCTAGAGGAACAAACATACCTGAGATGGAACCATGATATTAGGAAATTGGCAGAGATAACTTGGGCCCGCATAGCCAACAATAGACAACATGGGCCCAACTACGTCGTCTATTGAAATAACAAAACGTCTTTTAAATGTATGACTTAACAAACATAAAAAACATACGCAAAGAAGATGTGTGGTCTAAGCACTATATAACATAAAATGATCAGAAGCCCGGGTTGTCTGCAAGGAACCAGGTCTTTTGGTGTTTCTAAAAATACTATTATTGTAAAAACATAGTGTTATTTTTATCACATCTCACGAGTTCTCGTTTTATTTTTTGTATTTTATTTTCAAAACTATCGGTTTTAGCAAAATCGTCTGCAAACAATAGAGGAAGCGATTTGAGAATATTTGATCGAAAGATTTGTCGACAGGATGATTGATTATTTCCTTGTGAGGGAGATACACCGATCTTCCATCAACGGACTATTTTCTTTAGTAGTTTATTAAACATGCTTTTTTTCCAGCGAAAAATCTGTTAATATTTGATGAGTTATACAATTATAGCAATTTATATCAAGTTGAATAATTCTAGTAGTATTGTTGAAAGTTTCATTATATAACACATTTTCCAACCAGTCATTTATTTGACAGCATTTGCGTAATTTCAAGATCTCCATACAAAAACCGAAAAACAGTGTTAAATAAATAAATGTGTCCAAATAGATCATTTTTAAATAAACCCCAGAAACACCTACCTCTATGAGGTTTATTTTGTAAAAAAAATCGAAAATTTTACCTTATAAGATTCACCTTATATGTATACTTTAGTTAGCAAATTAGTTACTAGTACTAGTAACTCACTGACACAAATCGTTCTATGATATCTCCCTATTCAACCATTTCCAATTATGATAGCCTCCCCTATTCAAATACTTAAATGACCAGAAAGTGCAAATCTCAAAAACAAACCCGTTTTGTAAAGTACTTCAAAAATTATTTTAAGCATACTAAAATTCTTAGTTTACTTTTTACTTTCTACAATGAAATTTAGAGAGCGTATTAGAGCTTTTTCTAAACAAAACATTTCATGAATGAGAATCAGATGAATTTGAAACGAAAGGGAAAATATAGAAGAAAAAAATATATAAAATCTGCACAGCATTTCTACATATTTTTATGACCAATAACACATAAAAAGTTTTGCCTGAACTTATGTGGAGTTAAATGAAATATCTATTAATCTTGACATTTATTGGACAATAAATTGATGGCTCCAGAAGATCTCCCTTTCTTTTAACGATTTGATCTCTCACTAAAAAAGCATTAAATCTTTCTGGAGTTATTATATTTCAATTATTTCTTTCAGACCATGATCAGGAAAAAGTTAAGAGTGATGACCTAGGATTTGTTTTTCCTTAGAGGAAATATTAAAAAATTAAAATTACTAAAGTGAAAAAAAATTAAGTAAAAAAGATTAACTAAAAATTGATACTAATGAAAGATGACTTTTTCATTTTTCTAGATTTTATTAAAATATCAAGTAATTTTGAAGTGCCAAGAAATGAAATATTGGGTAATAATTACTATTTCATTTTACATTCAAAATATTATATACCGGGTGCGTTTCAAAAGTGGCTTATCCCTAAAACTTTTTTATTGTTTAAGATAAAAAAACGAAATTTGGTATGTTAGTATACAGGGTGTCCCAGAAATAAGTGCAAGTATTTTAACTGGTAGTATAGTTCAACCCCAGGAACATGCTTATGAGTTTTTTTTCACGAAAAAAAAATTTGAAAATTCGGAATTTTTTGAAATTTTTTTAGTTTTTAGTCAACAACATACTTTCATGATAATATGGCAACATAGGTAGTAGATTAAATTTACAAGAAAGAAAACCCAAAAAAGATCCAGTGGTTCTCAAAATTTTAGCAACATTTTTTTTTTGGAAATTTTTAAAGTAAAATAACTCGTTATAATAAACGTTATTTTGGACTGATAAAAAGAAAATATGTTTCTTTTGTAGAGATCTACCACCCCTTAAAATACTTGCACTGATTTCTGGGACACCCTGTATAACATAAGTTAGGACTGGTTGACATATTCAGTTGTTTTCGGGCAATTCTTGTTTCACCGGAAATTATTATATTTTTTTATTTTTAAATGGTACCCTCGGTATTTTTTTACTTTACATATAAAATATGATATAGTAAACGCCACGAATGTTTGGGAATGATTCATCGGTCGCTACCATGTGAACTAATCTGTTCAAGGTCACATAAAACTTAATTCCAGTGTCGTGGTGTTTCAAGTCATATAATAATCTGTTGTAATTTGTTGTTTTAACTGTCAAAGTCTTGTCAAAACATAATATATTTGGTTATAAACATAAACTGAAATGCCCCATTGGTCGCACTGCAAGCACACCAAAGGACTGACGCACAAAAACGAGTCAATCAAAGAAACGCGTTATAGTATCGTCTTTGTCGACCACGCTAACATTTTAGAAAAGTAGGAGGAGCGCAGGTAAATGATTAGACCGGGCCTTTAAAAACCTACGTCTGCGGTAAAAATTTACGTTTTTAATGTAAAAATCAGAGAGCGCGTGTCGATTCTAACTTCGTCAAGCGATGAATCACTCCCAAACATTCGTGGCGTTTACTATAGAAAATTACATTTCGAATAGAATGACATATCATAGTCAACTTTTCACATTTTAAATTTCAATTTAGAGTGCCATGGCCATAAATGTAACGATAACTTGACTCGAAATACCAAGTATGTGGTAAGAAATTATTCGCTAAAAAATGCTTACTCCAAATATGCTAATGAGCCACGCTCGTTCCATTTGAAAAAAATGAGCTATAATGCCCCATTGGTCGAAAAAAAGATTAAAAATACGATTTGGACATCTTTTAACCGGACATGCCAAGACACGAAAAACATTAGACGATCAAATCTATTTTTCCGAGGCTTCTTGATTAAAAATTAGTCTTTTTAACATATCCATGGCACTCTAGATCGAAATTTAAAATACGATTTCTTAAGTGTCTTTTAATGTCAAAAGTTGACATGTTATATGTCATTCTATACAGAGTGTCATTTTATATCGAATAAAATTAAAAAAATACCGAGAGTGCCGTTTAAAAATCAAAAGTTGTAGCCATTTCCGGTGAAACAGGAAGTGCCCGAAAACAATAATTGACAATCAATACCAATTTATGTTATATACTAACATACCAAATCTCGTTTATTTTTCTAAAAAAAATAAATAAAAAGAGTTATAGGGGTAAGTCAGTCGAATAAACTGAGAGGTGGCTATGGAAGTTGAAAAATGGAATCATTATTTGTAAAAATATTAAAGTTAAAAATATATTTCTTATGTCCAGGTCCATGACTCTTCGAAATACGCTACTCAAAACAATTATAGCATTAACATTTATCGCAACAGGCAATTTTTAATCGGTCGACTATTTAGTTGCATATTTGTAACCAATATATCCTTATGGAGCCGCGCTCTCATGTAATCAAATAGTCGCCCGATCGGCTCCATAACTATGTATTGTTTTCACTTTTGCAACCAAATAGTCGGCCGACTATCCGAAACTAACAGGTTAGCGCGTAGGCTTATTGTTTCGAATTTCCCTTCACATTATCCAAACTATTTAAAACCGTTATTAAACTTTGAATTCATTGACATTCAAAGTGTCTTGTTTTGTTTTTCAAATTAATATTTTTTCAGAAAATATGCGATAATTGTTTTGAGTAGCTTATTTACACATATTTTAGAGGCACTCTGTATAGGAGCATTGCATTTATCAGTATGGATGAGCTACATTCGTATAAAATCGTAAAAGGAACCTATAATCTTGATTTATGCATTCGTATTGATTGGAAATAATTCCTTTCCCACGACGAATATAAATAGCCATAATGAAAATTATTACAACTAAATTAGCTAATAAAATGCAAATTTATAGGTTTAGTAATACTGGAAATAGTCTGTACTGTATTTTAATATAGATATTTGTTTCTCCAAAAAAGTCCGATGA